GAGGCAGAAAGAAGAGGGGGGGGGGGGCGGAGGAGGAGATAAATTGCAAGGCAGGAAGAGGGGTTCTCAGAGGGAGGAGAGGAAAAAAACGTTGTTAGTGAAGGGGAGAGAGCAGGATAATGACGAAAGGGGGTGTGAATCATGAGAGGGATAGGGTAAAAATATGGTTATGCAGGTGATGAAGGAGAGAGAGATAGCAATGAAGAGAGAAACAACGACACGCAGAGGAAGAGAAGAAAGGACATAGCAGCAGATCCATAGGCGCCATGTGGAGTATCGGAGGAGCAGGAGCTCGAAAAGAGGATCCCAACCATGGAGAGAGAGGAGAGGAGGAAGACGGGAAGCGAGAGAGGGGACAGACCACAGAAGGAGGTGAGAAGAGGAGGATGGGGTAGAGCTGGGGGAAGATGGGAAGGGAGGACTGAGGGCGCAAGGTGAAAGATGCAATCGGACAGGAGGAAGGGGGAGGCAGTGGAGAAGGGGAGAAGGAGGAAAGAGAAAAGGCGAGCAGGTAAGGAAGAATGTGTGTGTGTGTGTGTGTGTGTGTGATTTTATTTGTGTATGATCTGATTTGCTGTCGGCTCCTTGCTGTTGCTCTCTTTGAGAGCAGTATGGAGATTGGCTCTCACACAGGGCCTCGCTGCACGGCACACGAAACGAAAAACGAAACGAATGTATCTTCCCACAGAAAATGGCCAGGTTCATCGGTTTGCTATAAATAGTAACGAGTGCATTTTGCCACCTTTGGTGGGCAGATGCACTCGTTTCGTTTTCGCTTCGTGTGCCGTGCGGCGAGACCCACAGTGTGCGCAGTGAGTTGACGCGGTTGTGTGTTGCGATCGAGTCAGGCCGTACGCAAACTAGCACCGTAGGAAATGTATCTGACCGCATTTACAGCCAGATGTGGATGTATCTGGAGGTAATTAGGTTAAAAAAAAAAAAAAAGTAAAAAAGTCCTACAGTGTGGGATATGCCCTCAGTCTACCTGTCTCTTTCTTCATTTCCATGTGTGGAGGCGTAGCCGCACTAGCTTTACTTGGTTCGTTACGGAAGTTAAAAAAATATATATATATATTTTATTACTATTATTATTTTTTATTTGTTTTGGCCCCGTCGGGCACGTGGTCCCGGGCCACTCTGGTAGCTTATAGTTTTTTAATTTTATTATTATTTTTAATTTTATTATTATTTTTTAAATTAATGCAGTTTAATTTTGTTGTTTAGTTTCTTAAAATGTATCATGTCACATGTGTCATCTTTTCCTGTCCTGTCCGGATTCGACAGGGAATTGAATTGCTTGGGCTTAAATGTATTAATTAGCCTTTTCCCCCCCCCCCCAAAAAAAAAAAAAAATCTGAATTGGTTGGGCTTAATTGTATTAGCCTTTCCACAAAAAAAAAAAAAAAAAAAATCTGTGTGATTTTCTCAAGTGTTCTTAAAAAAAAAGAAGAATCTATGAAGCAAAAAAAAAAAAAAAAATCGCGACCTCTGTGAGTTTTTAAAACTTTTTTTGCTGGTTTTGCGAAATTTGCCAAAAAAAATAGCAAAAAATCTTTGTGAGTTGTCGGCCATGAACTGCGTCTTTTGCATTTCAGCTGTTTTGATGTGAGGCACGCCGGCGGAGCCTGTATTTCCTCCCCCTCCCCCTCCCCCTCCCCCCC